GGGCCTAAACAGGAGCATTCATCAGAGACTGTCCCCCCTTTAAAATGTTTTCTTGACAACCGGCCAGGGCACTGAGGGGCCGGCCTGAGGAAACTGGAAGCCTTTTGGGGACAATTCTCGTTATGCAAATGGCAGGCCCTGGCAGAAGGGACTTTGCTTTCTGTGCATTCAAGGAGGTCTCTTTATTTACATAATTTCACACGGTTACATCACAGGGAATTTTATGACCTCAAAACGAGACTTCCCTTGATTTCCCAGGAGCCTGACAAGTGTTAGACAATAAAAGAAAAGAGAGAGAAGGAAAGAGCCCAGCCCGGCAGAGAGCAGCTCCCCGGGGATGGGCAATTTGCTTTATGGGAGGCCCACGCCCCCCGCTTTAGTTAAACAGGGCCCCGAATTCCCAACTTGACAATACATTAGAACTTTAATTAAAACACTGGCTCCGGAGGGACCATTTGGGAAATGCCATCCGACAGCCCATTAAAGGAACCGAGCAGGTTTTCCGGCAGCGACCCGAGGGGGATTCGGGACGCATTCCGCACCCTGGCTGGCCCGTTACTGCCCTTTAGGGCTCCGTGGTCACATTCTTTTCTGGACTTCAAGCCGGCTGGGTTTTAAGTCAGCTACTTTGGGGTCAAAATTTGGAACCACAGATGGGAAACACGGGTTGGCGAAGAAATGTGCCCTTTATCAGTTTCCTGAGCGACCTTGGGCTCCACGAAGGCTGGAGAAGGCACCCAGGTGGCAGGTGGCTGAAGCACCCAGCACCCAGTGGAGGCCTGTGTGGAAATCCCACCCCACCCCCACCCCACGCGGGAGACAGAGTGTCCCAGGCCCTGAGGAACGCAGATCGTGATGAGAAATCCGTGGGAAGGGGTGTGCTGGGCCCGGAAGGGAGCCCTGGGTTTGACTGACCCGGGATCAGCTGCGTCTGTAGTTGGCAGCCCCCCAACTGAGAGGTGAGAGTGAGCTTTCCCTCTTCTTTGTGGGGGCTCAGGAAGGAGTGACTCTCCAGCAGGAAGGGATGGGTGGCCATTAGGCCCCTCCAGGAGCTGAGCTGGGAAAAGGCCGGGGTGGCCTCGGGCAAACAGTGCGCACGCTGGGATTTTCTCACGGGGCTGTGACTTCTGCAGCCTTCTGGGGTCCCAGCTTTTCTCTGTTTAGTCACAACCACAACCGTGGCTCCTAACAGAGGAATCCGAATTCTACCAAGTGTTTATTTCTGTTTTCTTTTTGGCTTTTCCCCTCTACCATGCCTGCATCTCCTCAGTCTAAACAAACCCACTCAGACAGAAACAATGGGGTCTCTTTGTTTGGGTGTTGGGGACAGGGAAGCATAAAGGATCTTCCTCTGAGCCTAGCAGGGTGGGGTCCGCGGATGGAGACCCAGACCCCCCAGCGCAGCCCGGTGCCCCTCGGCAGCGGCCAGAAGCGGCCCAGGCCTTGGGGAGCCTTGGGGAGCGGTGGGGCCTGGGTGGTGCCAAGCAGGCTGCCCACAGTCCACCGGCCCTCCCTCTCTCCTACCTAGAGGAGGGGGTTCGCTTCTGTTTTGGGCGCCCCGACTTCCAAACGGGCACCTGCTGCTCGTCCCTGCCGTGGGGTTCCTAAGGGAGGGTGTATCTATCTCCCTGCCCACGGGTGCCCCTGCACCACCGCTGGGTTCAAATCAGGCCACCCGCCTTCTGGGCTTCACGCCCTTCCAGAGGCAGGCAGAGCCCAGGGAAGGGCCAGGAGGTAGCCCCGGCTCCGGCCTTTGGGCCCTGGGCCTCTTGGAGCCCATTTCTTCCTCCCTGCTCCTGGGTCTCTCCCTGCCCTGGAAGGAGCTGGAGGAGGGGTGTCTCTCCAGAACCAGAACGTGGACAGAATCGTCCGTTTCCCTGGGTCTGAGCACCTGGCTCCCGATGCCCAGGCCGCCTGACTCAGGAGCCCTGGGGCACTCCTTCCTCCGCCACTTCCTCCCCCCCTGGCCTGCGGGTTAATCATTAGATGCCAGTCTCACACCTCCAGCTGCCCCCAGCCGTTGAGAGGGAAAGAAGGCAAGGCCCGCGCGTGGCCATTTTCATGATTCGCTGCCGATCCCACACCGCGCAGCCCCTTCGAGTCCTCGCAGGCCCCGGGCGGAGCCGGGCGGCTTCGAGGCGTTTCCGTAGCTCACTCGGAGCACAGAGCGAGGGGAGGAAGGTGCCGGGCGGAGGCGGATGGATGCGCGAGAGAACCGTCTGCCAGGACCCCCCCCCAAACTCCATTTTTTCCTTCCGTTCCCCGGCCCGAGGGCTGCGCCGTACTCACAGTTGAAATCGGGCATCTTGGGCAGGATCATGCCCGCGGTGGACGCGCGCAACCACTGGTCCAGCTGGAAGGTGCCCGCGCCCAGCTTGATGGGGTCGACGGGGTGCGCGGGGTGCGCACCTTGCACCTGCGGGTACGTGTAGGAGAGCGCGGGGTGCTGGCCGGCCAGAGCCGCGGCCGCCGCCGCCGCCGAGTAGCCGTAGACCGGGTGG